AATTTTATCACCTTGGATAACAAGATTACAGATATGGCTAACAAGATTACAGATATGGATAACAAGATTACTTCGCTCAAGGCAGATACGGATAACAAGTTTGCTATATTAGAGCACAAACATTTATACGTGTTTAATTTTATGAGAAGGTTGGTTGGGTACGATGCTGTGAGTGTGCCATTCTTGAATAGGGAAGAAAACCAAGAAGAATTACCCCCAGTTCTGTCTGTGCAAGACATTGATAGATTAACGAAAGAACAGTGCCAGAAATACTTGAGAGGATACAATGTTCAGTTTCATCCAAATGAAACCACCAAGCTAAAGGAAAGATTACGGGATGCACTAGGTTTATTTGGTCACCCTGACCGTGAATATCAATTTGCATCTTTTTCCACCTAATTAGCTCAGTTTACGGAGTTGCATTGCTTGCCAATATTGTTACTAAGAGTATCAGGAACAATGCAGTCCAACTGAAAAGGTTTATATTATATAAAATTATAGCTCTACGAATTGTTAGTTCCAATTCAATATGATATAGAAAATATTGATATGAAAATCCAAGTAGATTCCCTCTGAAGAATGTTTTTCTAACTGATTGGGATTAAGGGCCTCGAGTCGAGTTTGAGAAAGTAGTGTATATATTATGAACCAGATCTAGTAGAAGAATTGGATGTTATAAATGCTGGACTATTTCCTTATATTCGATTTCACATAGAAACAAGTCATGGCGAGACTTTTATGATATGTGGTCATCTGATGAGTACTAATATACATAGTAGCTAACAAACCAAAGATTTGCCCAACCGGTTCATGGGTCATTCAGTTTGTCTTAAATAGGGAATATTTATAAGTTGTATCCAGTTCTTTACTCAATCAAGGATTTATAAATTTTGCAACCAGTTTGCTTTTTCTCAAATTAATTGTTTCTCAGAAAGTAATTTTCACTTAAACATTTCAAACATAACTTAGAACTTATTTAGCGAGGAAGACAGTAATGAGTGCATCAAAAGAAGATTTAATTAAAAAACTCGAAAAAACAAGACTAAGCAAGGTTTCTATTGTAAAATCCAAGGATAAATACGACGAAGAGAAGGATATTCTTGTCTCCAAAATTGGAGGAATCCCTTACTGGCCCAAGGAAAAAGAGTATCCGACTTACACACAAGGAAATGCTAAGCTATTGGCCCAATTAAATTTGGATGAAATTCTGAAACAAGTAGACTTGAAAAAAATCTCACCCTATTATCCCACTAGGGGTGTTTTGCAATTCTTCCTTTCTGAAGGAGATGCCATGTACGGTATGATGGATGGTGTCTTAGTTATTTATCATGCAGACACAAATCAAGAACATTCATTAACAGAAAATCAAATTAAGACGAACTTGGAGTTGTATGAAATGCCATACGAAAAATCAGTAAGGCTTGATTTTGTTGAATCTGATGAATTATTTGGGCTTTATGATAAAGTACACCCAGAATTTGATGCTATATATGAAGTTTCGGAAGATTTATTGAATGAAATCGAAAATGATGGTATAATTAACAATAATGGTTCAAAGTTAGGTGGCTATAGCTTTTTTACGCAAAATGATCCTTTAGAAGATCAAGAGATCGAAGATAAGATTATTTTACTTTTACAATTAGACTCAGATGATGAACTTAAACTATTGTGGGGTGACAGTGGTGTTGCAACATGGCGTATAGAACAGGAAATGCTCAAAAATCTCGACTTCAGCAACATTCATTATACTTGGGATTGTTTTTAGTGTAGTATTATTCGTAGAATAGTTTTTTAGTTTTTTATCCGAAATATTAATACTCCAATACTCTAAATCATATTCTTATTCACGGAATATAAAATTTCTATTAATAGCCCAAACGTATAACCAACCATTCCCATTCCCATTTTTGATATTACCTGCGGTGCATAGCGTAATCTAGAGTAATAGGTAGTTTTTCACCGCAATATTGTTACCTTGCAATTTGTGATCTCTAATTAATCAATTATCTGCTGACTATTGCATTGTTCTGTTCTTTTTTTATAGTATTTGAGTTACATTATATTGGAGATTTCTAATAAATAGCACCCGAATATCTGGTGTTCTAAACCATAAAATAGAAATCACTAGTTCATGAATTTCATTACTACGAGAAATTCAAGGTTACTATGTAAATAGTGAAATGTATAAACTATTGGCTTATTACGAGATAATATGATTTGAGAATGTATTGGACTTTGGCATGAATCAGAAGGTCAATTACAAAATTTCCAATCGTTATACACTTTTGAAGACGATTATTGCTACTTGATTATGCTTAACGTAGAAATAAGACTTAATGATACATTTGGATCCCATACAAACTGGCTGGACCGTGTTAAGTATGACTGGACGAAGGTAGACGTTGTCGAAACATTAGGTTATACTGAGAAAAAGGATTTGGTAAGCAAAACAAGGGAAGAATGGACGATAAAACTTCAGAATAAATCAAAGTAACATGAATCGAGGTAAGTTTTAGCTCAGGTCAACATATGAGAATGCCTTGCGCTTAGCCTATTTTGGAATACCTAAAGCGTTCTTTGTAAAACTAGGAAACCAAAATACCGCATTAATTTATATAGCTAATGCTAGTAATAATTATTGATAGGGGTTGCAATCAAATCGCTTCTCATACAAGACCATTAAGGACTAAGTGGGTTGGCATAGACCAGGACAAGGCAGTGAAACACCAGGTTTTGATAGGCTTGATAATTATAATACCTAAAAGAATGGGGATCGTATGACGTAAAATTACAAATTATCTTTTTGCTTGACTTATAGTTTGACAGCCGATGGTGTATCAATGAAAAGACTTGAATACATTAAGACTAAACCAACTGGTTCATCTGAAGTAGTCGTACTATATACTATATTTACATAATCACATTATACTCGTATTTGTGCAACATAGTTTGTGCTATGCGGTTTATGTTTGATTATACAGTATGTTGAGTTTAAATTAAGATGACTACCAGGATCGTTGGTCACAAACTTAGTATATAATAACATAGGCATGCTTCATCATAATTCATTATTCAATATAGTTGATGCAGAACTTATTAGAATGGCTTCATCTATTGTAGGAAGTCAGTAAAAAGATTTGTATATGCTTTTGCGGC